ATTTTAAGACAAAATAAAATATGTGAGATTTGACAAAGAAGTGTTGATTTGATCTGCTAGATGTTGCAATCCTTACAAGCGCAATAAATAAGTTTTATTTTTCACTAGCTATTGCTCACGGCTGCGCCCACGTAGATGTCGGTTATCGCTTTAGTAGCCTATGTCTTTTCTCAAGAATTAAAGTATCTCCATACACAATTTCATGTAAATCAGTTCAGCAGTTATTGATTCCACCCACTTTTCATCTACTTAAAGGATGATTTCTTCGATAAAAACTACGCTATATCCTTTCCTTTGACTCGGACTATCTCTATACAAAATTTCATCTAAATCCGATTAGCGGTTTTAGCGTGAAGAGGTAACAGACAGACAAATAGACACACTTTCGCATTTATAACATTAGTATAATTAATATCTATCGTCCTCGTACTTCCTCAGAATTATTTATGAGCTCTTGATCTGTAAAGGCATGTGTTGTTAATAATATTCATTAAAAAATGGTTATAAAACTGATGTATTAAATTGGGTATTTATTTTTTCAAGTTTCTAGATGATACCATAATTTATTCAAATTTTTAAATTAATATTTGTTACTAAAAAAAATTTTGTTGTACACTGTCTTTAGCGGTAGTGCGATTATCCTATTTTCGGCGTTGAATTAAAATTATAAATATTAGAGATAGACTTCTGAGAGTCGTTTTTTTTTTAAATTTTTGAATTATTAACAAAAAACGAAATGCTATCTTTTTTCATCTTAATTTGTTAATAACAATTACAATTTTTTATGTGCTAATATATACTTTCGATACATTTTTCTAGACGTCATTCCGAATTGAAGGTATCTTTTTTTTAGGAGCTTTATCAAGAATTAACACGGTTTTGAACTTGTTGACTAGCCCAAAGTTACCTTAGCCCAATAGCTGTCCCCTATTTCTGGGGGTTTTACTTTATTTTAATTCTTTATGCACAAGTATGAGTTGTAGAATGGCGGACTTAATGCCATAGGCATTTTCTCCCAGTCTACCTCAGGGTGAAAGGGGAGGGGAAGTCATTGGCTACTTTTTTACCGCGATAACCAACATAAACGCGGTCGGAGCCGCGGGTTAAATCTGGTAATATATAAAACTTTAAGGTTGTAATGAATCTGCTAGGGTGTCCAGAATGCGAATTCGAAGTATCATCATGAACGAGAGGCGGCTGGGGGTTGGGGGACTGAAAAGACGGTAACGAACTTGTGAGTCTTGTAGTAGGTGTTCATTGGAAGCGGTGGTCGCTTACCATCAGGTGATCGATCTCTTTGTTTGCCTAATGAAAATAAAAATAAGGGGTTCGATTGACTGGACCCTGACTTGTCTAGCTGTATAAATAAAACCCCTTTTCATGATACACAGTTTTTCCAGTTAAATCTCAAAATGCCTGTCTACAAAGGCAATAGATTTGACCCCTATTAAGTATATTAATAGGAGAGGTTTATGTCCAGTGGACTGCGATAGGCTGATGCTGATAAAGTAAATTAATTTAAATTATATTTGTCAAAATGTCAAATATTGTGTGATGAGCACGGTCATTTGTTCTGTGTCTATATTTATCTAGTATATTATTTATTTAAAAATATATAAGTATGTTTATCAGCCGTCTGGTTACCATAGTACAAGCTCTGCCTAGTTTGAGATCAGGCGGCCGTGTGTGAGATGTGTGAGGTATATATTATTATATTAGTGTTAATTTCCACCTACCCCGTCTAGGATACAGATTGTTAGTATGTGTTATGTGTCAATTTAACTGCACGGATGACGTAGTGGTTTAAGTGGTTGTCCTTTCTAATACGCTGAGTGTTGTGCGTTTGATGCTCACATGGAACAACGCAACAAGTTTGAATGTTCGTTGTGTCCGTTTCATGTATGTTTGTAAAGACCGCCGCGATACAGGGTATATTCTTAATTCGGGTCTTTTAAAAAAAAAACTAATATTGTATTACTAAAATTCTACTGTCATGATATTCAATAGCTAATAAAATTCTTAGACATATTAAGATCATGCATTGAGAAAAGCACGTGCACACAGTCACGCACACTCACCCCGAGGTTATCAGGATCAGTGAGCAGGCCGGGTCACTTGTACGATACGATGCAAACGTCATCTACCTTAATAAAACGATGTTATTGCTGTTAGATTAGAAAGTGCAGCTTCGAGAATACATACATATTTATGGCAGTACCTTACAGGGTGGTTAGGTTTACAACGTTTACCGACTATTTAGCCGTTAGTATAGCGTACAACAAGAGCCTTACCACTAAGAGAAACAAATATGCAATAGTAATTAGTAAACATCATCAACAGCCTCTAACAGTTTACTGCTGGATATAGACCTCTCCTTATAAAGGAGGTTTTGGCTTACTATACCACGCTGGCTAGACGGGTTGGTATAGGGTTTTCTCCAGGCGGTCATCGCCGAGTGGGCAGGGCGGCAGCACGGGACCCTTTCCTTCCGGCTGACGCAGGTGCTTTCCGGGCACGGTTGCTTCGGAAAGTACCTGCACTCGGTCGCTAGGAGGGAACTGAGTCCCGCCTGCCACCACTGCGACTGCAGTGAGGACTCGGCCCAGCACACGCTGGCGGTCTGCCCCGCATGGGCGGCGCAGCGCCGGGCCCTCACTGCAGTCATCGGAGTGGATCTCTCGCTACCGGCCGTAGTACGCTCCATGGCCGGTAGCGACAGTTGTTTTACCGCGGTCGCAACCTTCTGCGAGGTAGTAATCTCGCGGAAGGAGGCGGCGGAGAGGGCCCGGGAGGACGACCTCCACTCGGACCCGATCCGCCGCCGGCGAACCGGGCGGCGGAGGCCCGCCTATCACAGCCTCATGCCGCCCTGAGTGTGGCCGCGGGTGGACGGGGTGGGTTTCCCCTCCACCCGCATTAGTTTGGCCAGCCGCGAGGGGGCGGCGTCCGCGTGTGCCGGAAAAAAAAAGGGGTTTGTGTCAAGTTTTCCTTCTCTTTTCAGTGCTATTGTCCTGCGTAGGTTGCTCCCTTAGTCGGCTCACAACACAGTAATTAGTAAACAACTTTAAAATTATTACGAGCATTTTGACAGATGCTCTTACTTAGTTTTTTTTAGGAATTTTATTTAGAAGCTTTTTTATTAAAAATAAATCTCACGTGAAGTTTGATTGTATTTATATTTACAAGTTTGAATAAAATCAGAACGAACGATACACCATTAATCATCATCATCAAATGTGGGTCACCGGAGCCTCTACCTTCTAACCTTAAACTACCTGAGCTGGCAATACAGTAATATAACCAGACAGCGATAAATATACTTAAATATTATCACCAGATAGAGAACACAGATCGTGTTCATCACTCATTGTCCTGGATGGGAATCGAACCTACGACCTGGATCACTACAGCCAGAATTACTAACCAATAAACCAAGAGTCTCGACATAAATCAATAAAGATGTATTAATAGTATGAAGATAAGACATTTCACGAGAAAGCTCGAGAAATGCCTAGTTTATAGGTGCAGGCCTGGGGGTAACAGGTGAGGCCATCTGTCACCCTAGAAGAAGACCAAGAACGGGAACACCGTGGTTCCCACACACGATGGGTCATATACAGACCGGCCTAAAATAAAAGGATGACCTTTTTTGGTCTCTGAGGCTTGCTTGTTGTTGAAAATACTTCACCATGTTGTGGTTGTTACTCACTTGTGATTAGATTTTTGTTGTCGTCCCTGGCCAATCAATATTAATTTACACTACTCGAAGTGACATTTGCTTTAAATGCTTACGTAAATTGATAAGGTGATATGGTCCCTGTCCGCGTTGTAGTGACGGAAGCACTGATTTGTCATAGTATATTAAAATATACCGCTTAGTATCTCTTTATTTATATTGATATTATACCAACTATGGCTTGCCTCGTTTCGATGTGGCACGTTATGGTTGCAATCAATCGGCGCAAAACTTTTTGAGTTTTAGAAGCACATATAAATCAATTTAACATTTTTATATATATAGCGAAATCGTGTGTAAAAACATATAAAGCTACCTGACTGCCAAAGGAATGGATCAGTAATATTTTATAATATGAAGAACAATCAATTATGAGGCTATTGTTTTGTCCTTAGAAAATTTTGTTCATTACAGTGACTTAGGAACAAGCAAACTCCAAAATGCAATTTCAAACTGGAATATAGTATTACTGGAGTCCCTGTTATCACTGAATAGTTATCAAAAGGTTTTCGAAATCAAGATATTTTAACACTGACATTATCACCCCTGTTTTTATCTTTCTAATCAGTTTAAAGCTGGCCTGGTTCTAATATAACGAATTATTAAACGTAATGGCCCGCAAGTCGACAAGATATGAAATGAAATCCGTCGGAAGTATTAAAAGTATTTGCGATAACTGTCCGATAGATGATATTATCTGTGTGTTATCTACATCAGTATAGATACCTACTGTTACAGTATTTTACCTAGCAAGTTTGGACTTTTAATTATGAGTCATAATCATGGCTTCTTATAATCAGTCTTAGATATATTTATAGGAACCAAAATTACCTCTGCACTTCTTATATAGCTGAGAGTTGAAACCTCAATCACCCAAACATAGTCACAAATTAAGCTCTTCACAACTTTGCATGACATGTATCTACAATATAACTAAATTGTAAAATAAATTAAAAATAAAATATATACATTGTTGCCGGCGTCTTTGGGGATCCTGCTAACGCGCAGAAAAACATAACCAATATTGACGATACCACGGTTTTGAACGGTAAAAAACATTAGCCCAATAAAAGCAGCAACTGAATGTGGAAAAGCAAAGTAGCTTACAATCACCTGGACCTTCGCTCTGTTGGAAATCATACATGATAGTCTGCTGTTCCACTAAAGTTTCCTGTAACAGTACATCCCCAGCAGAATAGGAGCCTACTGAAAATAGAAAATTATATAATGCTCATGTTAATAAATATTAATCTTATTGTTACAGATGCGTGCAGTGCCGGCGAACGAGCGAGTGTACACACTTCGCACGCGTCCTCCTTCCCTTCTCCCGCCTTCCCCCTTAAGTCTGGCCAGTTCAGGTGACAAGTCATCTCTAGCGGCCCACACTCATTCCCCTTCCTTAGAACGTCCGGCGAGTCAGCCGTCTGCGCCGCCGACGACAGCTAGCTTCGTTTGCTATGTATGCGGGGTTAGCGCACCTAGTTCACAATTAAGGCTCGTGTATTGCTGTCCAAATCCTGAGAGAGAACCGTATTATCCTTTTATAACGACCTTGAAGCCTCATTCTGATGCCAGTCCTATTAGCCCGCAAGGTAAGAACTAAATCCTGAGCTACATATTGTACAAATCACTCATATAACTTGTAACCTTAGTTGTTTAGATTTAGACGAGGATGAAAGACTCCTTAAATGTTTCTCAGTCGTGAATCTAATCTTAAAACTGTTTAAAGTTGCGATTTTATAATTGAACGTCACTTGAAACGAGATTCACCGATCTAAACTAGAGTGATTAATAGCTTATTTCAGAACGAGGTTTTTGTGGAAGTGATAGGTTTTTTTAGTGTCGAGCATAGATTTTGATAGATGTGATCTCAGTTTACGTGAGACAAGCTGAAACTCAAGCAATGTTTTAACGGAAATTATCATTTTTACGATGATTTGTTTCTGGATACTTACGAAAGAAATTCAATTACTTGTCATACTTGTCATTCAACATGACAAGAGTAATAATTTGAAAGTTCCGTTATAGCTTAGAGCTAGTAATTTTTATTTTAATATTTATTATATTTAATTTGAGGCGAGCAACAAGCTTGTTAATGTGTTTACATTGCCACATCACACATCACATCACGTCAACAGCCTATAATAGTCCGCTGCTGGACATAGGCCTCTCCTTAGAAAGGAGCTACACTAGCCAATAATCTATTATAGGCAAATTCACAGAAGTTATGTTGGTAAAAGAATATTTTTTTAATAAATTCAGCTGTGTGATACGGAAGAACAATGTTGATCATGCGGCAACGTAATTGAGAACAAACTAAGTTCAAAACAATGCTTAAGATTAGTTTCAACTGTGTAAAACTTAAATCGCGTTCTATAATAAGATCGATGCTTAAAGTATGATCTGAATTAAAAACTAATTTCAGATAATCAGAGTTCAACCGATACTTGAGACGTCTTTTAAAATACGGGCCTGTACTGTTTGGACCTTACGAAGTATATAGTGAATTCACTTACATAACTATCAGACAATTATCAATTTACAAAAAATCGTGACAAACAATAGATTATGACAATTTGTTGTAATTATCTTAAGGAAAACATGATATTAGAAAGACAGATAGTTCGCTTTGTGTTTGTTGAATAACGTTGAGACAGGTTTTTGACATAAACTGGGCCTCAATTCTGCTTATTTAATATTGTATCAATAGACTGTCGACTGTCGTCGGAATAGTTTTGCACTTTTCCTATTCTACTAACTATGTAAGATCAATGGCCGTGGATGACTTGTCACTGATACAAATGTCGTCGATGTCTTTGTAATAGTTTGGTAAACACTACATTATAAATTTGTAAGAAAATGATATATTTAATTTTCCAGGTATGGCAATGCTGTTGATATTGACATTGATGACCTATGTTAGTATATCGACAGTCTATTGACATTGTGAATTTATGTTAGTAGAATACTGATATTTTGAACGATGTCAATGGCATCTCAATGGCCTCTTACCGTGTCAATGGAAAGACAGTGGCTTGGCGTTAACATAAAATAGCAGAATTGAGGCCCAGGTTGTAGGTTTAAACTAAACTGACAACCTATTGATTCGTGAATAGGTATCAAGTGTTAACATGCACATTGTGTTTACAGGTATGGTCCAAATTTGTGCGTCGTGTTATAAAAGCATTCCGCATAAATACCCTGCATATGGCGAGAACGGGGAACCGAATGCCGCGCACAACAATTCACATACCAACAATATTAGGTGAGTACTGTCCTATAAAAAAGTATTTTATAGCCGTGGAAATTTGAACCACTAGCGTGATACAGGCTACGAAAACTGCTTATCTTCAGGCGGTTAGTAAGTTAATCTTGGTCACTCTGGGTTGCAATAATATGAAATTGTTGCAAAGAGGATGACACTAATTCATGACTTTTAGAAAACAGATTCATCTTTGTAATATGAGGGTGACTTGTAATACTAATTTGTGGGATACATTTTTGGGAGAGACTAGTCTACTTTTACCTAGCTACGTACAAAATATTACAATAGGAGAACGAACGAACGAACTATGTGTTTTAATAGGTCATGTACACATACCGATGTTCATGTTCTAGTGGCTTCTCCAAACCCAAGACCGACATATATTGCAGTCTCAGGTCCGTTTTCTCATCCGTGTGATATTCCTTAGCCTAGCAAACTAAAAAGAAGTTAGAGTCAAACAATCAGTCGATCATAACATAAACTCCCTTAAATCCTATGCAATATTAAACATTGCACCAATCCTCAACATAATTAGGAAAAGAGCTGGCAACTGATAATGATGATTAGGCCATGAACACCAAAGCTCTCATAAATTTTTGGTAAAAAAATAGTTAAAATAATTTTTGCGAAATATAAATAGTATTCCGTAGGTTCTCAAATACAAGAAGTATCTCAATGATGTTATGCGAAGTTTTTGGAGCGACACTAACGAATTAGACTGACTGTGCTCGCCCTTAAAGCGGCAGTACTTGTTTAAAAATTAATCAAGCAAGTATTCACTTAGTGTAACATGTAAGTGATATACACTCTGGGCTCCATTCTTGGCGTCATTAATTACCAAACGGAAACCACTCTTGTCCAGACCTTCTTGTATGGCAACCTTTTTGGCAGCAACCATCAGGTGACCTAAGAGTTGTTCATCAGCATCATCAGCCTTGGACAGTTGGGTAATTGGCTTTCTTGGAATCACTAGTATATGCGTAGGAGCTTGAGGATTCACATCATGGAAAGCCACACACTGCTCATCTTCATAGACGAATTTAGCTGGTATATGATATTCTAAAGAGCACTTTGACTGAGCTATGTCGTCGGGTGGTTGCATTCATGAACAATCGGATTGTATGTACTGTAGTAAAAACCAAAACTCATAAAGTTCATATAATTTTATTACAAAAATAATCCAAAATTAAAAATTCGGTGCCTGTCTCGGTGGTGCAGTGGTAGCGTATGCGACTGCTGTGCTGTGTCTCTGGTTCGATTCCTAGGTCTAACCAAATGTTTAATGATCTGCAAATATTTTTTTCGCATTTTTGGTGTTTTCTATCTATTTATGTATTTATAAATAAAAGGAAATAATTATTCTATCATTCAATCTAGCTTACATAACACAAGCTCTGCTTAGTTTGAAACTAGATGGCGTTGTGTGTTAGATATCCGAAATATTATTATTACTATCAGAATATATTAACACTTTTGTTCTGTACGCATGTAAGGAAGGTTACTTGTTGTACAGCTGTCGCCTGATATCAACAACTAAACAAGTGTATGTTGTCTATTAAGATATTTTATTTCCAGATTTAAGCCCTACGATATAAAGTCAAGTTCGAGTCAAGCGAACAAGCGACCCTCGAGTGCGTTATCAAGTAGTCCGCAGAGTCAAGTTGTCTCCGGCGAGAATGGCATGGGACTGTTCAGGTCGGTATCCGTGGCTTAATACTTTTTATTAATTTCTATTGATGATGGATGATAATGATGAGGACTACAACGACTGTCCGAATGATGCGAGTGAGGGTGGACCCAGCAGCAGTTAACGCGACGGCCTTAACCGCTCCACTGTATCAAGTAATGTTTAAAACTAAAAAAAGTAATTCATTAGAAAAGTGATTCTTAATTTTGTTTCAAAGAGGTGGTTCAACTGAAATAACATACTTGATATATTTTGTTGCACAGATGCTACGTGTGCGCGGGCCTGTTCCAGCAGCACTCGATGGAGTGGCTATCGACGACGGCGGAGTACATGAACTCGCACGCCATGCACTTCCCGTGCCTGGCGGGCAGCGGCGGGGGCAGCGCGGCGCGCGGGGGGCGGGTCCTGGCCTGCAGCCGCTGCGTGCGCCACCTCTCGCGCCAGTGGGAGCTCATGGACGCCGAGCGCGTGCCGCTCGAGCACAGGAGGCACGTTATACCATTCCTTATACATACATCTAACATTTTATATTAGAATAGAATACCGCTTAATTGATTTCAGTATTACAACAAATATAAAGAAAAACTCAAATACCGAAAGCGAAAGGTCTAAGCGTCAATTTATGTTTGAACTTCACATGGATTATCGAGCGCTGATTTTTAACTTAAAACTTCTGTTTACAAAACAAATATATGTAACTTATTGACAAAACATTTAGAGAATTTCTTCGTGATCATCCATTACCAAAGGTTTAAAAAATATAAATATTCTGTTTTGTTTAAAACACAATGAGTATGGACAATAGAGGAAGGGCATTCAGTACATGGGACAGTTAAACTTTTAAGATGTGTAAATTGATTAATTACATAGTTATAATTAAATTAAAAGCGGCGATAGGTGCGATCAAGATGTCGTGGGTTCAAATCCTGACCAGTACACTACCAACGTGAACCCACTCCTAACACAAGTAATTTAGCTTATCTGGAGGGGTAAACGGGAATACTAACAATTTCGATTATTAGTAAAACCTCTATATCATAGGTATTAATACTATGTATGCGTCCTCAACACTACCAAAGTAATATTAGTTATAAATACATATAAAAATTTGTTTTTTGTTTGTTATAGATATAATATCCCATCGCCTCTACCTCCGAACTCGTCGGTGAACGGCGAGCGAGTGATACCAACCCCACCTTCCACCACTTCTGACCGAACGGTCGCTAGTAATAATGGTAAATACCAACTTTATTTATACAAGTACATATTCTCTGTCCAACCTGCTTTCGACTATGATCATAGAATCTGTGTGGTGACGGATTAAGAATACGGAGTGTCACCACCCCTATTCATCCCTTGGATGTCGTAAGAGCCAACTAAGGGAGCAAACTACGCAGGGCAACAGCATTCAAGAGAAGGAAACCCGTCTGTCTAGCATGATATAGTAGGTCAAAACATTTCTAAGGAGAGGCCTATGTCCAACAGTGGACTATTAAATCCTTTTGATGATGATGATATAATTGTTATAAACCCTAGTTTTGATGAAGAACCCCTTAGAATAATGCCGCTCAACAAAAAGAAAGACCTTCATTATAATTTATGCATACGCGACAGCAAGGTTTATTTGACTTAGATTCGACCTAGCCGACTGATTCCTTGTGTCAACAATCTAATATTACAACAAATATGTGGCGGAGTATTAACATACATTATATTAAATTAAATGCAAATAAATTAGATTGTATGTAAGCACACAACTCCTTACCGATAACAGCATATTCCGTTAATGTGACCTAGTAGTATAATAATAATAATAATATTGTACCACATACACACAACGCCATCTAGTCCCAAACTAAGCAGAGCTTGTACTATGGCTACTAGACAACTGATATAAATACATATATACTTTTTTTTTGTAAATACATACATATTATACAAACCAAATCAAACATTAAATGGTCATGCACACAAATGTTAGAATTGAGCGGGAATCGAACCCGCGACCTTTGGAATAGCAGTCCGTTACACAAACCACTACGCCATTCGGTCGTCAACGTATCGTAACGTATTATTAAGGGACTTTTATTTTCCACCAATGTTAATTCTAATTACAGCTCTTGCTTATACATGCAGTATTGACAAGTCTGTTGGTCCAGTGGTTGGTGACCCTGACTGCTAAACCGAAGGTCATGGGTTCGATTCCCACCCTGATAAAATAATTGCGATGATGATGATGATGATGTCCTCCCAGACATATCCGTCGACAAGCTCCGTTTACGCTCATGGTCCCGTACATGACTAGCAAAACCAAATTTGGCCTTTAACACAAGGAGTAGAGCCTTAGAAAGGAGGTTTTGGCCTAAATTTACACCAAAAAAGTATTTAAAAAGTTCGTAAAGGTTTTCGTATTAAATCTAGAAAAAATATTAATTCTATTTCATTATTAATCTTTTCATCATTGTCCATTTTTCGATTACAAACTAGTAAGTTATACATTTATGTCCATTTCCGAGATACGACGTTACCGCTTTCAGTTGTAGAAAAATTTGTTTATGTGTTTTATCTTCTAAGTCTAATTGTCATCATTTAGTCTTGCCATATATCTACTTCATAACTATATTGTACAGATCAGTGATTGACCCTATAGGTATTAATTTATTTATTTTATTTTATTTATTTAACTTAATGCACAAGTTGTCCACTGGCGGACTTAATGCCCAAGACATTCTCTGCCAGTCGATCTTCGGGTGATGTAAAAAAATGATGCTGTAGGTGCAAGAGAAAACTGAGAATTTGACTTGTTTATATTAAATTTATTAATTTAATATAAATCTAACTTACAAATATACACTATATACTATAAATAAAATACTAATTAATATTCTAGTTGAAAAAAAATATGACCCCCACCCACTCCTTCTTCCCCCACCAAAACTGATACAACTATGTTTAATACCAAGCTTTGTTTCAGCATGTACATCAATATATTGTTTCCTGTGCGGGCTTCACTCCGACTTCACATTGGCGCGGATCCTGTACGGCCAGCCGCAGGGCAACGCGCCCTACTTCCCTTGTCTGTTAACGCATCAGGTACGACTACCTTCCATTTTTGATGTTATAAAGGGCCACGAGCAAGGCAAACGAGCAGCCGGGTCACCTGATAGTGGGTAACTACCACCGCTCATGGTCACCTGGCAGTCAGGTCTTAATATCAGATGACCTGAGGCCCAGGTGTGAGGTTATTTCACATCTACTCGATCGTCACGGTGACTGACACTGAAATCTTAACCAATCGCAACGACGAAAGCGCTCGCTGTCAAAAATGAGTTTTTTTTTTTTTTTTTTTTTATTAAAAAGACAACTCCCGCATTAGAAATAAATCCTGTGTCGCGGGGGACTTTACAAACATACATGAAACGGACACAAAGAACACCCAGACTTAGAACAACAATTTGTGGATCACACAAAGTGTCGTCCTATGTGGGGTTTGAACCCACAACACTCGGCGTAGTAGGAAGCGGCGTGGCGACCGCTTAAACCACTACGCCATCCGTGCAGTTGAAGTGAAATAAACTTGAATTTAGCCTTCTGTTTGCTTTAGGCGATAAATGTAATCTCCTTTTAACCGATATGACTATATTTTGACTGACCTGTTGCTCTAGTGGTTAGTGACTCTGACTGCGACGCCAGAGGTCGTGGGTTCGATTCCCACCCAGGACAAATAATTGTGTGATGAGCACGGTCATTTGCTCTGTGTCTGGGTGTACTTTATCTATAATATGTATGTATTTAGAAATATATAAGTATGTTTATCAGCAGTCTGGTTACCATAACACAGGCTCTGCCTAGTTTGGGACCAGACGGCCGTGTGTGAGATGTGTGAAAATATTATATTATTATTGAAGGTTTTTATTCTAATTGCCGTGCAATGGGAGAGGCCTATGTCCAGCAGTGGACTGCGATAGGCTGATGATGATGATGATGATTGAAAGGGTTTGGGATCTTTGAGGTTCAGTATAAAGCTTAGCTTAGCTATACAAGATACACTTTAATGCGAATTGTGATATTTACCTTTTCCAACAGAGTCATCCAAACGCGGAACAGTTGAGAGAAAAGGGTTCGGCGCTAGTGTGTACCTTCTGCTATCACTCGCTATTGAGTCAGTGGAAAAAGTGAGTCCATTTCTATTTATATTTGATCATTAAAAACAATTAAGAGTAAATTAATTGAAAGTAAATTAGTATGGTAATATTTAATTTTTAGAACCGTGTTTATTGTTAATAGTGATCGTCTGATAGCCGACCATAATTAATTACATTTTGAATATAAGTATTTATATTGTTTTATAGAAGGAACACTTAAACCCAACCCGTCTGGCCAGCGTGGTATAGTGGGCCGAGGCCTCCTTTCTAAGGAGAGGCCTATGTCCAGCAGTGGACTATAAAGGGCTATTGATGATGATATTGTTTTATTTATTTATATTTGATATACACTTGCTGTGCCATAACCGGTTAACAAATATATAAAAAACGTGTAATTAAATATAATCAATTTAGTTAAATAATTTAAAAAATATTTTCTTGCTCAAAATGTGGGCTTTCTAAAATTAGTTTCCATTATGACCTTCAAACATTCCTCTGGTCGCGAAATCAACATAAAGTCGACTAAAAATTATTTGCCGTAAAAAAAAAAAATAGATATATTTTTTTTACATATTTTTTTTTGTATTAGTACTAGCAGTATTTAGTAGTAGTAGTATTTAGTATTACCTAATTAACTTAATGAAGTTCATATGAAGTGCTAGAATTTATAGAGAGCATGTGTTTTCCTTCCCAGGTACGAGGCCCTGGGCGGGTACCCTCCCGAGCGGCGCGTGTACAACACGCACGACTACCACTGCCACTTGTGTGGGATCAAGACTTACAGGAAACGAGTTAGGGCACTACCCATTAAGGTAATAACTAAGTACTAGCTTTTGTCATTAATGTGAATGTTCTCTCTTTTTCTTGATTACAGACACTATGTCTTTTTCTATGCATCTGATGAAATGTTTCTTATAACTTTATGCCAAAGTATATTGGAAAACAATATCAATTTCCGAAAAGAAGGGATTTGAGAATTAGGCATTCTGCGCCTTAAATAAAAGAATGTGTAAAGATTGTGATACTATAGTTAAACCGCCGTAAGCTTGGCCCTCCTGATGGTTTGGGGGACGCGGGGCGGGGGTGCATTCAACCAATTAGCTAGTGCGTCGCTGTCCACCGGCAGTGACTGACGTGAAAGCATGGCTGTACGTGTTATTTTTCTTAAGACTGCTACACACGGTATTATTTTGCAACATGGATAATCTGCCGACTCTGCGTCACAAAAAGATTTAAAAACTTGAAGTTCGGCTTACAGAGGTTCTACTGTTAAAGTTCTAATAAAGAATATTTATTATTTTACTTAATTTTGAAATTGTATCTAAATATAATTTACATGATGAAGATAAGGTGATTTTATTAAAATTATTTTACAGTATTAAATTTTACAATTAATCATAAAAACTTACAATACACTGACATTATAATACATGGAAATAAATTCGATTTTTATTACATCGTGTGTAGATTAAATCTCAAACAAATAAATCTGATGATATCGAGTTAGTACATCGTGTCATGTATAGCCGAGCGCATCACCCGCCCCGCGTCCCGCAAACCATCAGGAGGGCCAAGCTTACGGCGGTTTAACTATAACTGGGAAGCGTCTAATTGATATTTGTTTGTTACAGGAATTCCCATTCTTAGTGCAAAGGCGGACTGAAAATTCATTATTATTAGAAAATAATGACTATGCTGTAGTATGTTTAGACTGTTATGAAAGTTTAAGGTTTGTATGACAAGCGTTTTAATTTTATTTAGGAGTTCAGGACGATGTAGCTTAAATATAGTAGACTAGTAATTGTAGGAGAGCCAGAATGCGGCACATATGACCGGACTGATACTAAGGTCTCACAGAAAACTGGTGTTGAGTAGTTCTTGCTTTTCACCAAGTGAGTGAGGTTGTGGGATTCCAAATCTTTCCCCTGTTTCCACTGAAAGGGCTCTTGTGAGAGATCATTTGTGAGCTTGTAATTTCTTAGTTTTAGGTGTTCATGGGCGGTGGTAGTCTTTTTGTTTTTTACATATAAATAAGTATTTTAAATGGCATTGGAAATAGTTTAGAATAGACATTGGACAAAATTATAGTGAACTGTGATTTATCATTCGATTTCTGCGTGCGTAGGTTAGAGTTACCTACCTACCTAAAGTAGGTTAGACGCTATTTAACAGTAAATCTAGTATTTTTTTAAATATCATTTAGGGAATGGTAGCTTTCTAAGGAGAGGTCTATGTCCGGCAGTGGACTATTGAAGGCTGTTGATGTGAATGGTAGTTATATATAATAAAAAAAATACTAAATTTACTGTCCTTATGCATCGTCCGAAAACAGCTCATCGGCAACGACGCGTGAGTGAGTAGTGAGCTTAACTTACGTACGAATAAACCGAATGATAAATCACCGGTCCATAGTGAACCGTGACTAATAGACGCCCCCCCCCCCCTCGGTCAGGACGCAGGCGCAGGACTACGAGCGGCGCGGGGTGCCGGTGGAGAAGCGCGAGTACAACTGGCTGCAGCAGCCGCCGCCGCCAGAGGACTCCGCCGACGTCACCATCGCGCGACTGCCCTCCGGCGACCGCAGCGACAAGCTCGTGAGTTCGCTTCCGTCCCTCGAACTTGTTAGGGGCGTCCATTCAGCACGTGAGACGACTGACCCCACCGGTCAGGTCTAGTCGAATCTCAAGAAGATCGCAACGAACAGAGTAAATTTGCGAGAAAACTGCGTTAAATTAAGTAAAACATGTTTCTCCACAGAAGTATGGCTAAGACTTATACAATACTATTTATCATGGTATTGCGAATGCCGGGCAGTTGCATAGTAGCCTAACGTTTGTTTACGCGTCACCAACCGCCTTTACAATAAAAACACGTTTAAAAAATCTTACGTGAGGTTAAGAGATGGGGGGTTGAATCAAACCTAACGACATCTCACCAGGAGAGCGGTGGATCGGAAAATCACTAAAAACGCTTTACGTAATTAATGGACGCCGACGATGAAATTAATGAAACTTAAAAAAGAAGTGTCACTACTTTCAATACGTTTTCAATCATAGCAAATTTTCTTTAAAAAGGATACCCAACAAGTGTCAAATTGTACTAGAATAATTTCAATAGGCATTGTTTTATCATTTTTTTTAATTTACTAAATTAAAATGACATATAATGAAATAGTAAAATAAAGAAAGAAACATTATTGATTTAAACAATGAAATGTCAAAGTTTTAAATCAAACAAAGTACGAAATTCCTTTAAATGTAGCGAATTAACTTTAAACTTAGTCGTATATATAGCAATATGTAAAACAAAACAGTCGAACAAACCTCGTAGAGTCCGTTAAAGAAATAAGTAGTGGTGCTAGAGATGCAGGCGATGTAGTGAGGCTCGTGTTGTGTCAGATCCCGCAGTCGCTGGTGGTGTCGCGCGGCGGCTCCAAGCGCCACAGCCCCAAGCACGGCGCGCCGCCCCGCCCCGCGCCAGACAAGCTCGCCGCCAACAAGCTCGACAAGAACGAACACGGTGAGTCTACACCCACGCTAACTGACAATATCTGACAATATCTACTAATGGTTGTTGCCAACTTTGTGTGTTTTCTATAATAATGACTTCACACATCTCACGCACGGCCGTCTGATCCCAAACCAGGCAGAGCCTGTGCTATGGTAACCAGACAGCTAATAAACATACTTATATATTTCTAAATACATACACATTATAGATAAATTACACCCAGACACAGAACAAATGATCGTGCTCATCACACAAATATTTGTCCTAGATGAGAATCGAACCCACGGCCTCCGGCTTAGCAGTCAGGGTCGCTAACCACTAGACCAACAAGCTATATATAATATGTTTTTTTTTCATTTATTGTTTACCACAAAAAATACAGTGACAACAACAATAATAACAACTAAAAATCATACAACGTTTATACCTGTGCTATCTTGAGTCTGTCTTATTATTTATATACAAATCAAAACTATAAAATAACAATATACCAACAACACAATAAAAAATCTTACACTTACTAATTTCACTTAACATAAATACAACAACGACCTTTGTATGTACGTTTAGGTATTCCCTCAATGTATTTACAAATATTGCATCATATTTTTAACTTAAAAATTGCTTTAATTTGGATTTTATATTTTTCCTTGATATCCTATTACATAAATCTGAGGGTGTCATTAATAAGTCTGTAAATATTCTATATCAGTAATTCTAGCTTTTATAGTACAAGCTCTGCTTAGTTTGAAACTAGATGGCGCTGTGTATCAAATGTCCGAAAATATTATTATAATTGCAACTATTTTTATTTATCCATGTGTACATATTTATAACAAATATCGACTCTTAGAGCAAAACTACATGATGCGTTGACGGTGCGGTGCCGCAACGTAATGAATTCGAAGTATAGAGTGTCGCAGTGAACCGCCGTGTATCACTGTGTGTAACAGTTTTAATTCAGTCTTTTAACGAAGTTTTATTGCCATTCCATCCACAGCCTTTACTAGTCCACTGCTGGACATAGGCCTCTCTTTAGAAAGGAGGTTTTGGCCTACTATACCACTGGACAGACGGGTTGATATAGGGTTTGTCTCAAGTTTCCTTCTCTTTGCAGGGCTCTTACAACACCCACAGGATGACTAGGGCTGGTGACACTATGTATTCTTAATCCGTCACCACACGGATTATGCTAATTATTGCTATTACATATTATTGTATCGCAAAAAAGAAAAATGTTAAATTATTGTAACACACAATTATTCACGTTCGATACGCTAACAATACTGAGGTGACGGCACGTCGTCACTCCCCACAGGTCCCGACGTCCTTGCGGCGCCCATCAGGGTATAGTTTATTGTATGTAAGATCACGTAGCGGCACCGCTCCCGCGCCGTACCGCACCGTCGACGCATCGTGTGTATTCGCTTTTAGAGAGCTCCTTAACGACGAGTCGATTTGTGGTGTTCTAGAACCCACGACACGAGATATGATAATCTATGATACTAAAATAATCATTAAAATGATTTTGTATCTTGTACTCAATACATTCCTTTTACAAATAAGAGTGGAAGGGGACAAAAAAATTGACTGGCAAAATCCACATTATTAATCTTTGACCTTTTCTTCCGTGTTCGTAAATCCGTGTGGCGACGGATTAAGAATACGTGGTGTCGCCTCCCCTATTCATACCGTGGGTGTCGTAAGAGCCGACTAAGGGAGCAAACTTCGCAGGACAACAGCACTGCAAGGAGAAGGAAAACTTGAAACAAACCCTATACCAACCCGTCTGGCCAGCGTGGTACAGTAGGCCAAAGCCTATGTCCAGCAGTGGACAGTATTTAAGGCTGTTGAAATAATGATGTGATTTGATCTTTTCGTAACTCAAATCGATTGATAGCATTCGGTCCTCACATTTTGCAAGCTCACTTGCCTCTAGCGACTACACTTTAGTTATATTATCATTTATATAAACTCACGGCTGTATGAATCAGAGTAGGCAAAAACATATTTTCATTTTTTTTTTGTCACAATCATACGTTGTACGTTAAAAAGAAAGAAAAAGGATATTATTGAGGACTGAGGACAAAAAAGACAAAATAAAATAGGCCTTGAGCAAGTCTGGAACGCTGTAATTACTGTAACGCTGTAACTTTTAGTTAAACCTGGGTAAAATCCCGTTTCCAATAACTTGTCAAGTGAAATTTACCATGATTTTTTAAATAAGTATTTGTTTAAGCCATCAATATTCGTAAATTAACCAAAGCTAAATAGAGTTAATCGTTTTTAATTTACTATAACTGTGTACCTTAAAAGAAACGGGTTCGTAAATCCTGGTTTGCGTTTACACGCAACATATACAATATACTGTGCAAAATGGTGAACCACCTGTGGATGTCTATGAAGTGCTTTCCCGTCTTACAAACGGACATAGAGCAAGTTGGGTATAGTGATCGTGATCTTAGGTTTCTTACCTAGAACCAGTTTACCTAATTGTCATGTTATTAACTAATTGTCATGCAATGGCATGACAATTAGTTAATTATTTTTTTTTATGAAATGACAAATCCCGCATTAAGAATATATCCTGCGTGGCGAGGAACTTTACAAATTGTTGTTCTGAGGCGGGGTGTTCTTTGTGTCATGAATAAACGGACACAAAGAACATATGAATCATACAAAGCATTTATTTTAGTGAATGTTTTAACACCGTGACTCAATGATTTAAATAACTTCAATTGCTATATATTCTGTCAAAACATTCTGTTTATCTTATGGTGTAAATGGTTAGAGATTAATATTATGAAAGATAAAAATGTACATTTGTTGCATCCGTTTAAGTAAGTTTTCGTTAGAGCGCTCGATCTGGAATTATTCAGTGATTTTTTACGTACAGTGCTAATATTATCTAGTATTTTTTAAATTTCTTTGGATCTTAGGCAGAATACACGTTTTATAAATCGTTACGTCGTATCTGTACATATGCCAACTCTCTCTCCCTTTGGTACCGGTAACAATACACCGTCTTAAGTGCGGAGCCGTATCGTCACACCCCACCCCTTCACTGAACCGTCTTTTGTGTGCGGCTCCAGACTCGCACTTTATTAACCTTTATGCTCAAAAACCGGTAAAATTACTTAATTTGATGCGTTTTTCAACTTATGAAAGGGTTGAAATCGTACTTGGTGAATTATATTCGAGCGTGTAAAACAATTGTTGGGTTTCCCTGAAACGTATCAATTAAAAATATATTGTTATCTTGATCAAGTACATTATAAAATAGACATTTCTATTTTTTATTTTTAATAAAAGTTTTGTTAGTTTTCTCAATGAGTGTCTCAGTGGTGCAGTGGTAGCGTATGCAACTGCTATGCTGAAGTTTCGGGTTCGATTCTAGGGTCGGACCAAATGTTTGTATGATCTACAAATATTTGTTTCGGAGTTTGGGTGGCATTTTATATATAGAAAACACCCACACCACAAAATTTAGAAAAAAGTATAAAAGTATACTACAGTCAATCTAGCTTTCATAGTACAAGCTGATAAAGTTTGAAACTAGATGGCGTTGTGAGTCAGATGTCCGAAAAAAATTCATTAATCGATAGTTTTTGGCTCAAGTAACAGTCAAATCAAGTCAAGTGATCGAGTTTTGTTATGAACCAGATAAGGAATAGTTTATTCATAACATTCGTCGTGTTCTCCGAGGCACGGAGGAGTCTCTTTGTGTTAAGATTGGTCACCCGCAAAGTGACACAAGGCTATGATTGCTTAACTTAGCAATGTGCTGAACTAGTCGGTACAAGGTATCGCTAAAGAAGGCTTAAATACTACTATCTAACTGCAATATAATTTTACCTTAGTTCTTTAGCTTCTCTCTATTAACCTAATGGAACCAATAAATTCAGAGGTAAATGATTACGTAAAAATAAAAAAGTGACGGCGTCTCTTCAGATCCATTGAACTATTGAGAGTACTAATTTGAGCTCCGACAGCCGCGTCAAAGCCCGGATTATTGGAAACCCATTTGTGGAGAGAGGGACAGGGTGCGGTTTAAGTGATGAGTAAAGCGAGATGACGATTATAGAGCACGGGAATTATACAGAATGTTTGGAGAGAATGTTGTCGCAGTGACAGATGTTGATTTGTTTCATGTAATCATTCACTGGTACTAAAATTATAATTATTTTCTTGTTTTTGTTAGTCGCAGTTTTTGTAGTGATTTTTTTTTTGTTGATGTAAAACATCTAATCGACTGTTGGCGTGTCGCCAAGCTATGTAATATGTGGTTAGTAAAATAATTCGTGTGGTCTTTTTTATTGGGTACTTACGCAGATTACTGTCGTAGTAAGCCAGAGAAGTCACAGTCATTCCGACCTGTAACTTCTTATAAAAGTTGCGTCGTAGCCCCACACAGCTTGTGTAATAATGCGATAAAAGTAATACATATAAGCTAATTGGTGTTTTTTTTTCATAGATAATATACATTTCTGATCATTCACATAGTTGCATTATCATTAAACATTTGTTAATATCTCAAAATAAGCTGAATTATGGCGTAAGAAATTGATATTGGAATCAGATTGTACTACTATATTACTCATCGTCAACAGCCTTTAGTAGTCTACTGGCTCGACATAGACTTTTTTTTAGCAAGGAGAGGCCACCACGCTGGCCTTAATACCCGTCTGGGTATAGAATATCACTCAGATGTAGCTTCCCGAAATAAATATTTATTTTGATACTTGATCGCTTTGAGTGACGCCGTACGTTGCTCCAGTGTTAGTCAATAGACGCGTCGATTAGAAGTAAACGTATTTTATTTGCGTCGTCACCGAAGTAACTGTGTTTATTTTTGTTTGTAGAAAGTTAAGTAGTTGTTAATAGAAATTTTACAGTAACGAGTACTATAGCTTTATAGTCCACATCATGGATATTTTGGCTCACATATAGACAAAGATAGACAGACAACTTAGAATAATGGTTTCTAGATACCAAATTAATAGTTATATTTAATTATTATTTTTAAAAGACAACTCCCGCATTA